GAGTGGGCCCCGCCCCGACCCCAGGGAGCCCGGCCTGCCTTGCTCCCCGGGCTGCTCCCCGGGCGGTCCCTCTCCTATGGCACCGGCTGCTGGGGCGTCTGAACCGCCGAGGCCTCGCCCTCTGGATAACAGTGCCCCCGAGACAAGGCAGCCCTCGCACAGACTCGCAGCCCTCCCCTTGGCCACTGCCCGGTGGCCCCAGCGCCAGTGTAACTGCACAGGGAGACGGGATGGAGGTGGTGAACGAGCCACTTCGCACGGAGGAAGCCAGCGCCAGGCCTCTTCTTGGGAGTGAATGTAAAATACTACCCAAAGGGAGAGTGACTGGCCTGGCTCCGAGGTTGAGCGTCCACCTATGAACCGGGAGGCCACGCCTTGATTCCTGGTCAAGGGCACCTGCCCGGGTTGCGGGCTCAATCCCCAGTAGGGGGTGTGCAGGAGGCAGCCGATCAACGATTCTCTGTCATTATTGATGTTTCTCTCTCTCCCTCTCCCTCCCTCTCTGAAATCAATAAAATATATTTATTTAACAAAAAGGGACCATGACTAAACAGAGCAGGCTTACACCCTGGACGGCCTGGCGCTGAGAGGCGCAAGAAGTACGCACGTTACCAGGTTGCAAGAGAAAGCAGCCCGCCTCCTGGAGGCGGCCTTAGATGGGGAGAGAGGGCCCCGAGTCCCGCCCCCGGGGCCCCCAGCCTCGCCCTCGGCCCCCACAGCCCCCACACCTCTGGAACTCCTGGATGGCCTCGACGACGCTGTCGGGGAGCTGCTGCAGGTCGTGGGGGAAGGCGATGAGCTCCCTCAGCTGGGCCTGCAGCCGGTCCACCCGGGGCTCCTCTGTGGCCAGCGCCGCCCGTGTCGCCTGCGGCACAAACGCCCCCCAAGGGGGTGGTGAGTTCCGGGACGGGACAGGGTGTGTGCTCAGGGTGATGAGCATGGCTGGCGGGAGTGGGCCCGGGGGAAACTGCTCCCCCACCTCCCCACCGCGCCTCTCGCCAAGCTGGTCTCTCATGATATCACCGGCCCCCAGCGTTGTCACAAACGCCAGCACCTAACAGCACAGGTGCCAATCCCGAGGAACACTGACGCCGTGCTGCGTGCTCTGGGCGCCTCATCATTTGAGCCTCTCACGGATTCTGGGGGGCAAGTCTCTGTGTCCCCATTTCATATGCAAGGAACCTCGTCTAAGAGTTTTATTTTTGTGTTAATCCTCACCCGAGGATATTTTTCCATTGATTTTTTTTTTTTTAAGGGAGAGTGGAAGAGAGAGGGAAAGACAGAGAGAAGCATCGATGTGAGAGAAAGACATTTATTGGTTGCCTCCTGCATGAGCCCTGACCAGGGCCCGGGCCAGGGAGGAGCCTGCAACCGAGGTACGTGCCCTTGACCGGAATCGAACCCGGGACCCTGCATTCCCCAGGCTGGTGCTCTATCCACTGAGACACACCGGTCAGGGCTCTAAGCACTTCTTGTTTTCCAGAGTTCGTAAGGAACCGTGGGGGAGGGCTGTTACCAGCACCCCCGTTCTGCCTTTGAGATGAAAGTCCTTCTCCCGAAGGCATCTCGTTGGCAAGGAGAGGAACCAGGGCTTGAACCCAGCAGTGTGATCCCAAAGCCCCCGCCCCTAACCACTGACCGCCCCTCCACCTGGGGCCAGGCGGCCAGTGCTAACGGGAGACAACTCCCTGTGCACGCAGTTGGCCATCGCAGTGGCACGGGGTTTAGATGAGTGGGAGTGGGCCCTGGAGGACGTGTGCCTCGTGCCTACCCCCAGGAGCATAGCTCCACCTATGGGCGAGCATTAGAGGGAGAGAGGACACAGGACAGTGAGGAGTGGACAGGGGTCAGTTCCCCGAACAGAACTGACGCTGAGCGAACCCGTTGAGTCAATCTTAACCACAGGAATGGGGAGGTGTTTACCTTTATTTTAAAAATCTCTCTGTCCACAAGTCAGGCCTCCTGTGCATGGGGGGGGGGGGGGGGGCTCTGATTGGACATCACGTCTAAGTTGGAACCCACCCCCACCCTCCCCAGGTGGGCATGTCTGCTCGTCTCCCAGACCCCCTGTGGGTTGGCCACCATCTCTAACTCGGAGCTTTCCCTCCGGCCTAACGCTCTGCTCCGTGCTCAGGAGGCCCACCCACATCCACCTCCAGGCAGGGCCGTGGCGACCCGGAGACAATGCGCCTCTGGTCTTAGTTACCCGCTGACTCATCATGGGACCCTAGGATGGTGGGGACAAAAAAATCCCTCCAGGCCTCAGTCTCCTCTCCTGGCAAATGGGTGCAAACACCCAACTTGGGGTAACACCCCAAAATCCAGGAGAAGCGGAGTGAGTGTGTTTAGGGCTCACCGCGATCCTCCCACCGCGAGGGTGAGCTCCAAGGGGCGACACCCCAAGCCGCCTGGACCGCGTGGCTTACCGAGTAGAGTCTCCAGCGGGCCACCAGGTCGTCCTCGGTGCCCG